CTGTACTTAGCAAGCTGAAGCATAATATTTAGAGAATTGAAGGAATGTGAAGACAGTCTAGTATGTCCCAAGAACGACCAGTGACAAATATTTTAAAACCCTTTCTCCATTTATATGTGTCTTTTCTTTCTGTCTTTCAAATTCAGCATTTATAAGGGGAATCTTGTTTCACTCTGCTCCAGGGTGGGATATTCCCCTAGTAATACCCTTAAAGAAAGGGGAGTGGGGAGAGTAAAAACACATAGGAGGGTCAAAGAGGAATGAAAGCTTGATTTCAATAAATAACCGGGTTTCAACTTAGAAACTATGACATCTGAAAAATTAAAATCCAATTAGAACTCAATTATCTATTGAGAAAAACATGATTACAGTCCTTATACCTTATAATTATCATCATGCTTTTCTTTACTCTTTTGTTCAGTATTTCATTGGCTTATCTCCAGTTCCTATAATTTTGAGTAAATCAATGATATGTACTGATGTGGACCTTAGGTAGCTGTGAATATGTTTTTCTTTCACCGAATCAAAGGTGAATATAATTATTTCCAGGGAAAACTCATGAGATTACCACCTGCTCATAAAGAAACTCTAGCAAATCCTGAGTTTCAGAGACTAGAATCAGATCCTCCAGTTATAAACAGGAAGAAAAAAATCCTCTGGGGCCCTATGAACAATACTTTCCCAAAATAAAGCTCTTGTCTTTTAGTAACACATCAAAGTTGTACCATGGAGTTGGTAACAGTGGAGAGAAAAGAATGAAATAGTTTTAAGAATACTTTAGAGCTTGGAGACATTTCAGGATGAAAGTCCTTTAGGATTTTGCCACATTGGTAGAATACCAACATTATAGTTCCTTTATGAAATGTCACCATCAGAGAGATTAATTTTAGAAGTATGGGATCACAGAAATGTTTCCATTGATGTAGGTTACTTTGTTGAACTCCAAAAATGTGTCGAGAGTAACAAATCTATCTGACATGTCCAGTCAAGGATCTGTTTTAAGCAGAAACCATGGCTTGCAGGACACTGTTAAATTTTAATTTTGTTTTTCAACCACAAAAAGGAGTCTTTGTTTGCAGTTAGGATGAACACCTGTGGAATCCTCAAACATTTACAGACATGTCTTTAAAAGCTCTATGGTACAGTTAAGATTTAATCTATCAAAGTGGTATAAATAATGTAGACATAGCCTTAGGTGCCAGTTCTTCCCACAGCACATAGAAAAACATAACAGCAGTGAGAACTTCTCTGGTGATTTTCATATAGTTCAAATATAACAGTGCCAAGGAGGCAGAGGGGAGCGGTGTAATCTGGAGATACAGCTTTCTTGATGTTAGTGATTGCGTACTAAAGTCCAGAAATGGGAAATATAAGGGTTCTGGCAAAGCTAAAATTATTCAGAACAAATAAAATTCAGATGGTTTCATGCTCAGAAGCTTGGATCTCATTTTGAAACTCTTGTAACTGAAAGGAAGGTGATTATAAGAATGGCCAAACAGTACTGGCCCTAAACACTGACCTTCCATATCCTTTTAATCTAATCTACAGGTATTTCCATGCTTATCCACACCAATGAAACATCTCTGCCAGAATGGGATGTGGAAGTTCAATCTAAATTTCAAACCCAGCATGTATTACATATAAAGTAGGATGTGCAAAGCAGTATATGGGCTATTAAAAGGGATAACAAGAAGTGTAAGATATGGTTCTAATTCTAAAGATGATTAAGATCTAGTAGCAAAGATGAGGAGAAAATATTTGAGCAGTAACTAAGATTCATAGCATGTATAATTGAAAGGGAAAATTTGGAGGGGTGGGTTCTGGAAAATCTTGGTAGAAGAGAAAGTGAAATTTAATAAATGTAAAGCTTGGCACAAGTAGATGTGATAAGGAGGAGATGTTCTTGACAGGAGTATTAATGTAAAGCTGGAGGAATTGAGAGACAGAAAGTAACCAATTTTATCTAGAGGGATAGATTTATTAGAGGAAAAGAGAAATGAGTTTGTAGATCTTCCCCCCCTCCCCGAGAATGTGGAGGGACTGGAATTCCAAAGAAGTGTTGTAATTTAAAAAACAGATCTTTGGTAAGATTACCTTTATACATAGAAACCAATATAATGCAGGTGTCCAATAAATATTTGGTTAATTAATGAATTTGGAGATTATCCCTGGACATTTGTTACCAGTTCCATAGAAACAAACAGATAAACCAAAGGCAGATACATTAGGAATGAGCTCCTTACTCCCTTTAGAATAGAAATAGAGTTGGGATTCCTGGTGGCTCAGTCAGTTAAGCATCTGACCCTTGATCTCAGCTCAGGTCTTGATCTCAGGGTTGTGAGTTGTGAGTTCAAGCCCCATTTGGTCTCCACGCGGAGTGTGGAGCTTACCTAAAAAAAAAAAAAATTAGAGTCAAGATGAGGTACTAAAAATGCAACTGCTCTTTCTGTGGCTACACATCAAGAAAGGTAATAAGCGCATGATCTAATTTTTTTTTGCAAGTTGAAAGAACTCTGAACTTCCTTGTGCTTCCTTTTTCACCTAGTGCCTCCGACAGTCTTCTGTTTACCACATAATCTTTCTTTCTGAAAGATTTTATCTTTCATACCTTCTTCTCTTTTTTTCTGGAGGACATATGTCTATATTCCAGATCACCTTCTGGGTAATCAGCCCCTGATTCCCTTTCAGGTGGTGTGAATTATCTCCTCTTCTGTAGAAGAGTATGTCCCGTGCTTGATGATGCTGCCCCTATTCATCAATCTCTAGCACAATATATGTTCACTGAATATCTACTGACTTAAATAATACTTTCCAGTATCACAGTGCCAACCACAGAGTGAAAAATTTATAAAACACATTATTCCTAGAAAATGAAAAAAAAAATGGTGAAGAGATTTCTGGCTCTCTGACGATGCTTAGTCTGTAGGGAAGAAACAGGGAGGTGGTAATTCTAAATTTCCTTGTAAATTCTAGATTCAGCTTTTTACTAAGATACTTTCTTTTAAATTTTAGACATTTCATTTACCTGTGTGTGCATACATATGCATCTACATACCTAGGCATCTACACATATATGGTCATATATATGTATATTATATGTATGTTTGTATATTATAAATAATCTTCATGATCTCTCTTTTTCTGCACACAGGCATTCTTAGTTGACAGGATATTTGCAAAAATGTCCTGCTTTTTCCAACATGGCTTTCCAAACAGGTTCCGTAGAAATAAATGAAATAATCAAAACAAATCTTATTTTTCCTTCAGCCATACATTTACTTAGTTACCTGTTGAGTTATTTATTTTGCTGAGAACTTCTGAATTTAGCAATTAGAAATGAGAAATAAGTAGATAACCTATGGAACAAATCAGATAAATATAGACTTAGGAATTTAAAAGAAGTTTCTAAAATGTTCCTACTTTAAGCTTTTCATTTCTTTGGGTATTTTGCTTTGTTTTATTTCATTCCAGAAATCCACAGCTCGACTTCCAAGAGTGCATGGGCCCCTTTCAATCAGTGTGCTACATTTGGTAATATGCTTATTTTTCTTGGGAAGTTTTCTTTCTTTCTTTCTTCCTTTTTATTTTTTTGCAAATTCAGACTTCTACAATTATCTATGACTCTAAAAGTATTCTGTCTAATGTGGTAGACAATAGGCTATACATTCAAAATAGCAATTGTAGTAATAACAGATGATTTCAAATTGATGATCTCTTTTAATCTTCTTAACTCTAAGAAGAATTTTTTTTTAAATTTTAAATCTTCATTTTGCTGATGAGTAAATTGAAATTCAGATCTCAAACATCCTGCATAAGCTAAGCAAGTTATTTCATGGTAGGCAGTAGAACCATGCCTCCCATCTCCAAATCTGTAATTCATTTCAGTAGACTTGTTCCTTGCCCCATCAGCCATATGCTGTTCAGGAATCTCTCTCCTTCCATCTGTTTTCCTCTGTGCACAAGCACGATTAGTCCTTGAACAGCTTGTCCAACTGTGCTCAGTCTCACTTCCCACCATGGTTTCAGGTCTTCTGAACATGGAAGGTTTTAGGGCAGAGAAAACTGACTCAGCAGAATTGATATGTTGAGTTGGCCATCAGGAAATCAGTCTGGTCATACTTCACTGCAGTGGTCAGAGTGGTGGTATAGAGAAGTGGAAACATAATTGGAAGAAAGAGCTTTGTATCAGAAAGTTGGAGGCAGACAAGAAAAGGAATGAACTTGGAATAAATTAGAGAGGGGACAGGTGAAAGGAGGGGGGAGGCCAGTTGGTATCAAGGACCTCTGTTGAAACGGGAAAGGCTGTGTATCTCAGGACTAGAGGTGCAGGACCTCCATAATGCCAGGAGAGCCTATTTCCAGTAGCTCTCATTAACTGCCACAGTCTCAAATTACAGTCTTAAATAATCCTCTCTGGACAGAAAGAAACACTTTCAAGGAAGTTGAGGCCATACCCATCCATGCATCCAACTTTCATAGGGAAATTTAAAGCATCTTAGCTCATCAGTGATGTCTTTATACTGCATGAATTCTGAATTAGTTGGATCTTTGTGAGGCAAAACCATCTTTATTATTTTCTCATTCAAATCTGACATCCTGTATCAGAGTGGGAGCATGAGTGTTTCTTCCTTCTTCCTCATCATCTTCTGAAGGCTTTCACCTGCCAACACTAAGGGAAGATTTTGCAGTGTTACTTAAACCTGAAGATGAAACAGTACTCGGTCACGGTTCCTGAGGACCTCAGATATATCTTATTTATTCTTTTTGTTTAAATTGAGGAGTTGAGGGGCAGAAATGTCATATCACCTAAAGGAGGTAGAAGCCTAGAGTCCTCAAATTTCTGACTGAGAACCACTCCCTTACTCTGTAAAATGTTCAGCACACATTTTGTCAATAATATTGCTAACTGATTGACCAGAAAGGAAGTTGGTCAATACTGCTTGTTTTTCTTGGTATTAAGTTTAATAACTATCCATTACTACAATAGCTTATTGTCATCTAAATCCATGGCCCCTTGGGACTTCGTTATTTGTCATCCTTGCGCAGGGGCCATGCTAATCTTCTCTGTATCGTTCCAATTTTAGTATATGTGCTGCCGAAGCGAGCACTGGACTTCGTTATTTGTATCAACGTATGCACTGAACCAATCAGGTCAATGTTTATTCCTATTATGGGCCATTTAGCTCTCTACCTTGCCACATTTGACTCAAACCAGATGTTGTATTTGGGCATATCCTAGGACACGAATGGTTTTACAGAATGTATATATTTTCCACCACTAAAGGAATAATATGCTTTGCACATAAATGCTAGTAATATCTAATAGGCTGTCTGAGACATTACAATAGATCACCAGAATATCTCAACATTCTCTGCCTGCTTTGTCTCAGGATTCTAGGTGGGGGAAGGTGAAGAAAGAGTGGAGCTGGAAATGGGAATGGTCCAGAGGGAAATGATATCTTTAAATGACCTTTCAGGTCACTGAGTGAAGATTTCAAGCAAAATTTCAAAGGTAGTGAAGTTTTTCTTTGAACTTTTCCCTCTTGGATCTCTATTTTAATCAGTAAGAAAACTTCTTCCTTGTGTGCTGAAATTCTGGAGCCCTGATCCCAAAATGTCTCTGGCCAATACAAACTTCACTTTTTATGGCATGTAACATGGAGAAGGAAAGGGCTAAGGTTTTGCAATCCCCTCTTTCCTCTGTTGAGATGGTCAGCACCATTTAGTGACTGCCCTCTCAACCTCCATCCTTTGATGAACATGTAAACTTTGAGCCACTGAAGTTTTGGTTTGTAAACCAAACACAAGCTAGCCTGTCCACACTGATATATTTCCTACTGTTTTCCCTCATAATAAAGTCAATGGACTTGTGCTCTTGAAATAGGAGGTTGAAAGAGTTGCTTGTCTATTACAAATTTGGAATTTAGGCAGAATGAACGCTTTGTTCTAAGACTAACTTAGTTGAAGGGGAGACAACATTTCTCCTTAAGAGCAAGAAAACCTGATGAAATGAGAAAGGAAGGAGTGGTTTTTCCGTTTAAAGTTCCTTTAGGACACAAGTGTATTAGAGAAGGACTTTAAGTGACACTTTCTGTATTGGCATATCATCCCAATCACTGCTATGACAATTTTTTTAACCTTTTTGTTTCCTCGTCTGTAAAAAAAAGATGTATTACCAATATTTTTCTCATATTAATAAGAGGATTAGATAATGCATATAAAATACCTGGCACAATGCTTAGATATTAGTAATAAGTTAATGAATGGAAACAATTATTTTTATTCCAACATTTTTCCATCCCATCTCAGTTCCTGTCTGAATATAGCCATGCTTTCTTAATCAGTGTAAAAATAATTATTTTCATTTATATGAACAGCTTACCATTTATGCCTAATGATGTGTAGCACAATAGCTGTTATACATATCATTAAATATGTGTCTGATTAACCTTGTTGTAATTTTAATTGCAATACAAAATTCCTCTTGTGCATACTCAGCCATCAAGGACTGGGGCTCATGAAACAGGGTTGACTGCTTTCAACCTGAAGGAATTATAGGGAATGTCAATCACACATAGCATAAGTCATAGACCTGAGAACAACAGAGCACAGAGGAAAGAACACGGAGCTGGGAGTCATGTAGACCAAGGACTAAAAACTTTAGGTCCACCACTACAGTTTATTCAGTATTCTCACAGTTTTTCTCTGTGAAACATGGTTAGTGATACCTACCATGTAGGATTTGTGAGGAATAGAGATGCTGTAATAAGATGTTCAACAAGGATCTTGAACAAAGGAAACTGTTTATTAGCTATTGCTATTTTTATAATTTTAGACTGTAACTTGGAAGGGACTTCTAGAAGCCCATTGGATTAGCCACCTCTGCTTTGCAGGTTTGATGTTATCACATCCTCTTTTCTCATTTTCTGCAAATGTGGAGAATGGGACAGCAGTATTTGTTCAAGGTCATGTACCTTGTAAGTGAAGGAGAGAAGCTAAGCCAGCTGGTGCCCCACCTTTTCCTTTACTTCCGTCTTTCACTCAGCCTGTGCCCACTGCCTGGCAAAACAACCTCTGAAGCATACATTCTTCTGGGGTGAGTCAGTGGCATCCTGTGCCTTCCCAAAGAGAGGAAGCACATTTGAGTCAGGAGCAAGTGCAACTGCCATGTAGGAAAAGATATCAAAGAATGGAAACAGCTGACCTGTTCTGTGCTGCAAATGTGGCAAAAAGCCATGTCAAAATTGTTCTGTAGATTCTAGGGCTGTCTCCTCCTAATCAGAATGTGTCTTCATGGGGCCTGTGCCCCAAGTTTCCTAGGCTTGCCTTCTCTGGGTTACCATCTCTGAATACTTTCTTCCTTGCTTAGTATACTTGAACATGGCCCAGGGTATGGACAGATTGAGTAATCTAAGCTGCATGTGGTCACTGTGAAGTAGCTGCTCATCAGAGAACCCGGTCTGCTGTGTGCATTCTGCTGCTTCCTCAGAAGGTCTAGCACTGGTTTACAAACCTTGATTCAGAACTCCGTGAATAGACAAGTCAGACTTGATTACTCTATTTCTAGCCTGCTTTCATATTCACCAAGTCTTCTCTCTGAGGCCCTGGGAATACTATATTACAATTATTTGGATTTTGGCATAGTACTTCACTTGGAGGTGTTACTTTACTTCTCAGGTGTTCCTACAAAAATTACTGCAAGGATGAAATAAGAGAATATGAGTGAACTAGACATATATTAATGTGTCTAGAAAATATATTAGACATATGTCTAGAAAATGTTTAGAAATGTCTAGAAAAATGATAGTTTCCCTTTTTTTCTTGCAAAGTAAAACCTAAATCTAGGGAAATAGAGCTCTAGTAAATATATTTCTGATCATTTCAAAAGCTAGAAGGGTTAAAGATGGGAAAGGGTGTGAATTCCCCTATCATAATGAATATTTTATTTTCTACATTTAAAATACAGATTTTATAAGAAAAAAGAGAAATTATAAGAATTAAAAAGTCCCAGTGGAGAAGCAGTGTACCTTTAGTGAGTATTGGATGTATTAGGTATATAATTCATTTTAATATTAACTGAAATTACCTTTCAGACATCAGAAAACTTTCAATAAAGGATGAAAAAGTAGAAGTTTGACATGACTTTTTGTTAATGAATTTGGAATATGAATAAAGCTATTTGAGAGTAAATATTTTTCTGGTTATGGTAAAATCTACGTATGATTTTTCTGGTAATGAACTTGTGGTTTAGAAGATTATAATGTTTAGAACATTATAGCAAGAGGAGTTATTTTTCATCAGCTCAGGTAACTTTCTTTGGTTCTTAGAGAAGTCCTGGTTAAAAGCCAATCCCATGATGAAAACTGAGGATCCCATGATGCTCAGTGACTTAAAAAAATCTAAACAGATTTATTTTATAATAACTAAATTCACTGTCTCTTAATGTCCTTCTTCATAGAAGTTGTTGAACAGTGGGGAAGCAATTAACTTATTTTTCTTCATTAAGTATGGTGTCAGAGGGAGAAAATGGGCTTTTATTTAGGTTCTACAGGCTTGAAGTTCTAAAATGTGATTTTCCTAAAAGCCATATCATTGACATTACTGGGTTCAGTGGGATACATGTATATAATTTATTTATACCAAGAAACCCATCTATCACACCACTCATGCTTCAAACAGTTTGAGAGGAATACTGTGGAAATGTTGGTGTGTGCCAAGATTGCTTGTCTGTGAGACTTGATTACTCTAGGCCGGTCTGGCATATAAACTCAAGGGCCTATTCACTGAACATGATTTTCATTTATGCTCCTATGTGCAGCTGGTAAGGGCTGGGTTAATGCATTTGAGGAGAAATCTGTAGCTGTTATACACTTATCTAGATAATAGACTTGGGGCAATTGTACATGGATAGCAATGAACGTTGTCTACCTTGCAAGCTGCTGAGGAAGATGGGAATGGTCAGAGTGCTGATGGAATATTGATATATTTTGTAGCAATGACTGCTTTTGATTTTCTAGCTTACTCTGTAGGAATAGGAGAATAATCTCCCTAGGTCCCTAAAATCACTGTCCTTGCCATAGGATATAAAAATATATCCTTACACACACACACATATGTGACATATATGGATGGATGGATATATATATATATATATATATATATATATATATACACACACACACACACATACATATATATATATGCATGTGTGATATATATAACATATATACATTTATACACATATATATACATACATGATATATATATATGTATGTATATATGTACATATGTATATATGTACATATATCTATCTATCTATCTCAGGATCCTTACTTAATCACATCTGTAAAGTAGTTTTTTGCTATGTGAGGTAACTATTTATAGATTCTGGGGATGAGGACATGGACATCTTTAGGATGACTGTTAGGTGCCTAACATAGAAGACTAGGGTGAAAATTATAGATATTTGAATTTAATAATCCACGTTTTAACTGTTTGAAAAAGATAAAATATAGAGGGAAAGACATTTTAAGTTGAGTTGTGAGGAAATTCTCTTCAAACTCATTACTGTCAGGTTTGCAGCTTGGCTCTTGTTCAGTCTAAGTGTGAAACACAGATTATCATTGGATCCTAACACTTAGGCCTTGCTTGTTACTGTACAAATGACCTTGAGTTCAAGTGTTAACCCTTCAAATACATCCAAATAGCAATTTAAGCTAACTATAAATCAGAACCATTTTTCTTTTGGGATAAAGCAAATCAAAAATAGTGTGCTCACTCAGTAATGGGGTGTTATCTCCTTTTTAGCAAATAAGGACAACACAGTAGAGTGTCTACTATATTTCACGCCTGTGCCAATTAGAAGAGTAAAGTGAAGGAGTATATACTCCAAAGTTATTGGCCAAAAAAAAAAAACCCCAAAGCAAATAAAATATTACAGTTTTTCCAAATTTAAAACTGATATAAAATGTGGATATTAGATTTTATAATGTATATTATACCATATTTACCTGTATTAGGGTTCTCCAGAGAAACTGAACCAACAGGAGGTATATATCATATCATATACTTATCTATCTAATATATATGAGAAAGAATGAGAGAGAGG